GTCCAAGAGAATTTTGGCTTACTGACCAGTGGCTATCATTATGGTTGCATGGCCAAGGCTTTCAACCCAAACAGGCAATGACCCTATAAAATTCCACCAGGTAAATTCTAAAAACTAGTATTGCTCTTCTAATTTTTAATACAGATGTTCCTGTGCTCCCGAAACAGTGTCATGTAACTAAAATTCTGTAAAATAAGGCAGGATCTTAAAATAAGCACGTGATATATTTCTCTAAACATGAAGCAGATTCAACTATATCAATACACAAAAATAATTTCCATCTAATGGCTCTCTGAAAATGTTAAATGAAACCTGCTCGGCATGATGGCAAAAGCCAGACGATCAAAACCAGGGAAAAAAAATTGCTCTCGTCACATGCAGCTTCACTGCTTCTAATCTAGGGAGAGAAAGAATGGGATCTTAAAGGGATAAGTTAAGACATCCTCAAGCACATCTGCAATTTTTTTTCAACCTAAAAGCCACACCCACCAACAAACTAAGCCGTACTTTTCTTGTTTCTAAAGTTCTCCTTCAGCAAAGCCAATTTTTTCCTGCACTGGTTTGCAGTTTTCCCAGGAACAGCAGCAGCAACCCGCTCCCAACGTTGAGAGATTTCTTTTGGGAAGGTTTTTAGAGCCTGAACCAAGGCTCTTTCTTGCACCGCAGACCACACGTCTTGGTCTGCACTCGAAGACACCCCATTTGCAGTAACCATGCCATCGGTTTTCTGCTTGTCTGTGTCTCTTGAAGACTCTTCTTCAGCAATCTTTGCAACACTACTTTCAGGTGCCAGCATCGCTGATGCCCCTTGTATTTCCTCTCTAGTTGTAAGCGGAGATGCAATGGATTGTGCAGGTTTCCTCTTTTCAAGAAAAGAATCAAAAGCTTTAGCTGTATCAGGCTTCTGAAGTAGGACAGTTTTAGTTGCTTTCAGAATTTCATCAACAGATCTTCCTGTACCAATGTACTCTGAAATAACCTCCCACCTCCGAGATGTTCCTTTAGGATATTTCTGCATTCCTTTCCTCAGAAGCTCAATTTCTTCTCGGCTCCAAGGTTTCTCCTTCTTTCCAGAGCTGCTTGATGGGGCTCTTCCATTGGACTTCAAAGAGCCATTCTGCTGTGAAATCTTTTTCTCATCCAGTTTACTGCTACTGGAATCATGATCACATCCACATGCATCTCTAAGCACTTTTGCTTGCTCTACCACTTCTTTACCTTCCATTCTGTCACATAAACTCCTAAGCTGCTCAATATCCAATGACATACAAAGATTTTCCACATCATCCTCACCAAGATTGAGCAAACACTGAGGCAGAACAGGTGCTGAAAGAGTGCGAAGACGACTCCGCTCTTTACGCAGAAGCTTCTTCTCTTTCTCCTTTAACTTCTTCTGCTGTAAAGCAGCTTCAGCAGCACGCTTTTCCTCCTCTTCTTTCTGGCGTCTCTCCTCTTCAGCAGCCCTTGCAGCTTCTTCTTCTTGCAACCTTTTTGCCAAAAACTTAGCTTCCTTCCTTCTTTGCTTCTCAGCTTTCCCCTCCTCCTTTCTCCTCAATATTCTTGGGTCTCTTTTATAAGCACTGTCAACAAGAGTGCGTATCCGTGCATAATCTTCCTTTCTAGCCTTTTCTGAAAGCTTTGCATTTTGCCTCTCCATCCATCTCTTATGGTCACGAGACTCAGCTTGCTCAAGATCAAATTCATCTGCATGAGGGAACTCTCTCCAGCTTTTAAAGCTGTACCAAAAATTATAAAAGCTATCTACTTCTTTTAAAGAAGTGTTCTCATCACCTAAAGATGGGATTGGTTGGTTAACTGACCACCGCCCATTCCTCATAAAAGCAGGACCAAAAACCTTGAAGAAGTCCTGAGGGGCACAGTCAGTGGGAATTTCATCATCAAACTCATCTGTGGAGTCGTATATTCTTCTCTTCACAGGATCGATCAAAGCTTCATATGCTTCTTGGATAGCTTTAAAGTGGCTCTCTATTTCATACTTTTTTGCTTGTTTTGCTGCCTCAGTTTCCTCAGCAAGAAGAATAGCAGCCTGTTTGTCTGGGTGATACTTCAAAGCAACCTCACGATAACTTTTCCGTATCTGTTCTTCTGTGGCAAGATATCTCAAATGGCCTAAACCCAGCATGGCATAGTGATCCTGTTGCTTATCTCCAGATCCAGTTTTCTTTTTACCTTTGGTGCTGTAGGATTCAGATGAAGGCATATACGATTGTTCTTTGTCTTTGGACACTTTCTGATCTTCACTTTTTTTGTCTTCCTCCTCCCAACCAAGGAGTTTTAAAGCAGCAGAGTGATAAGCATGCCCAGCTGGTTCATATTTTAAAGCTTTGATTGGAAGGCAGTTTGAGGAAACATGTACTGGCTGTCCATCTATGAGCTCTTGTGAGTAAGAAATAAGCTGCAAACGAGTTTGGATGGCCATGGCTTTATAAAGGCTGCAGAAATAAAAACACGTGCACTAATACTGATCTCCAAGATTCACCTCAGTTCAGCACCCTGTTCAGCAATTGTAACTATCTTCAAGCTGCACTGGAAAAAAGCTTCAGTTAGTAAAATTCATGCAGAAGAAAGTACATAGATTAATAGGTAGTGACAGAACATAAACTTTTAGCAACAATTCAAGGCATGTGCATTGGTCAGCAAGTAGTAGATTACAGGGACATTTAACACACAACATGCCCAGTTGACAGGTATATGGAGTACCATAAGTCCATAGAAAACAATAAAAAATACACTGTTGAAAGCCACTTTGCACACCCGAAAATGCTTTTTATCTGATGGAACAAAATTTGATAGCTCCAACACACATAAGAAGCCCATAGAAAAATTGCAATTTCTGATGCCCAGCCACAAACGTTAAGATAATTTGGGCACAGAGAGAGGTAGAATGAGTCACGTTAGCAGTAAATAATCTAGCAATCACATCTCCAATAAACCAGAGGCCCAAGAACTAGCTCAGCCTATCCTTAATTTTAGATTTTACAGAACAATCTATGCACCCATACACTTTCCTATTGCACAACTATGTCACAGAGCAAACAGGCAAATTTTAATTTTCTATTGAAAATTGAAAATTTTGTAGAAATTAATAAGAATCATTAAAACACACTAAAAAAAATAAGGGCAAGAATCAACAACATGCAAAGATACCAAATTTGTGCAATGCAAGTTGGTACAACTCCTGAAGGACAATTACAGCCCTCATCAAACTCCTCAAAAAAAATCATCACCCAACGACACTCATGGGTTCTTGGATTTATTCCAGGAAACTCTCATAAGCTTTATATCCTTGTAAATAGCCTTCAATGAGTTCATATTAAGATCAAAACACACAGCCCTACCGTTTACAAATCATTTCAGCCTACATTGAATTAAATAAAATTGATGACTAAATCAACCCCTTCTCAGAATCACTGCCAACCTTAAACACAAAATCTAAGTTAATTAGTTAATCAAAATTAAGTTAACACCAGGGTAATCTGTAACTTCTCTAACGTTATTCAACACAAACAATCTTTTAACCCTCAATATTAACCAGGTTTACGAATACAAATCATCAAAAAAAAAACCCAAATTTTGTAATCAGTTCCCCTTTCAAAACCAAAAGAAAAAAACAGCTAAAATCAAACAAATATATATAAAGAACGAGACTTTACATGAAATCAGACCAAATAAAAACGATCAATCAGATATAACCACAAAAATACTTCAATAACAAACAAGAAACATGAAAAGTGAGCAATCAGAGTCAAAATATTAACCAAATATATATATATAAAGCAGAGAGTATTACCTGAGATTGAGGTGTTCGTTTATTTATTACAGAGAGAGCTCGAAAAGAAGGCTCTCTTTTTCAAGAGGGAGATGTTGTCGAGGAGACAGGTTTTCTTGTGATATTGTGAAAATGGAGAGGAATTAGGGTTTTCGAGAGAGCCGCGAAGCAGTGGCGATGGCCAAGACGGAGATGAGAGAAGGGACCAAGTAGAGGATCCCCTGTTGTTGGCTGCCGCTTTCTTTCAGAAGCTCTCTCTTTTTTATTTGAGGGTAAAAAACTTCCATCCCATATTTATAGATTTATTGATACTCACTTCTATCCTTATAGTTTCTCATTTTACAATATTGCTCTTCTAACTTTAAAAAAGTTTCAATTTAACCCTTTATTGTTAAATCACATGCTTTTTAAATTTGGTTATTGATGTTTTTTTTAGGTTTATAATTTTTTTAATAACATATATGTGGACTTGAGAGGAAAAATGTTGAAAAAGGTAAGAAATGAATAGAATAAGATGTGAATTGTTAGTTAGTCAATAGTAGAGGGTAAGGTTGGATTTAAAAAAAAAAATATAGAATTAATTTATAAATTTCTTAAATTATAATGATTAAATATTGGTGCATTTATTTATTTGTAATAATTACTTTATTTTTTCTTGGAAGCCATATTTATAACTAGTCTTTCATATTTATGAAAGTAATTGACTTGTCATATGTGGGAACTTCTTTTTTTATTTTTGAATAACTTGACAAGGACATTACTTTAATTTTATTTTTTAATATGATTTATTTTTTATAAAAATTTCAATCATAGAAATTCAACTAAAAGTTGTGGCGCTTGGCATAGCTGCTAACCATAATTTTATGAAAATTTATTTTATTTTATTTTAAATTTATTTTTTTTTCAATCGCACGGCAACTACTTCTTCCAAGAAAGCCATTCATTTGTTTTTAGTATGATGGTTACCATCACTGGCTCATGCTGTACAATTCAATGTCGTTTTACGAGGGAGTGCTTTCAAGGAAGCCTCCGCGGTCAGCATTCTCCTTCTAGGTATAATCAGAGGCTTGAAAGTTGGGAAATCCATGATGTAGCAAATTTTGCCACATCCTTTGGAAGTTAGAAATCCTATGAAAAAGTGAAATCTGTTGATAAATCTTTGAGAAATGGTGAAGAACATAACTAAAACTTGTTTTTCTTGGAAAGACATGCAGATATGCTTCGATGTATTCAGTTATCATTTTTCTTAGTTAATTGACCTTTGTAATGGTCTTGAATACACTCCTTTAAGAAGTTGCCACATGCAATCATCCCTTTATTGAAGAACTTACAGCAAATACAATTTACAACAGGTTAAATGCAGAATGCAGACAGTCTATGCAAGCTAAATCCCCACAAGGAATAGATACCGTCAGTCAGCTCTCGAACTGTTCCAAACCCGTGAAGATGTAGCTCTGAAACCCTTCCTTGGGACAACAGAAAGTCGTTTGCTTAGTGGGTAGCAACTTATTTCCCATATCATCTGAACAGGTCTCCAGGCCACAAGCATTGCACAATACCTCCAAATCTGATTCCTGAAAGGACGATGCAGCTTTTGTGTTTCAAAAAACGTTAATCATCCAAATAATAATGCAGTTAATTCCATGTAGTGGAAATTGTACCTTCATCTTCAAGAGCTTAGATAGGTGTACCAGAGGATATGGATGAAGCTTGTAGCCGGCATTATTTATATATGACAGGGACAATGCTCGAACCTTCACGGTATGGGGAAAAAAGATTGTGACAAGAACCAGAGATTATAAAAGGCAAGTTTTTAATTCTACCAGAAATATAATGAATTTGCGAAGGAAGCCGAGAAATTGAAAACTTCAACAAAGGGAATTAACAGAAGGGAAAAAAAAGGAAAAGAAAGCTACACAAAGAATGCAAGAAAACGAGAGCAGCAGATTTTCAGAAATTTGAGTGGGGGGCAAGGGGGTGGGGTCGCAAATTAGGCCAACACTAATGTAGTAGTCGAATCCATTTAAGATCCAAAATACCAGAATGCTTTTCTTTTTTTGTTGGTGATAAAAAATGAAAAACCAGAAGGCAATGCTTATAGAAAACTGAACATAGCATTACCTTGTTGATGTAAGGTTCAAGAATACAATACTGCAGATAAGATGCCTCGGCAGATATGGTAGAAAAGAAACGCATATAGTTGCCCATCTGATAAAACCTGTTGAAACATAAAGAATGAAATTGTCCAAAACAACTTGAAGGAAAAAAGGAAGAAGAGAAAGACAGCATTCCACATGCTGAATAGTAACCAAATGGTGCAAAAAATTGATTATACCTTAGAACACTCCGGGCAAAACACATTTCTTTTGACCGTATAATTGGATGAAGCACAAAACAAAACCACAAAGAAAGTGACTCCCCCTTTTGATGAAAAATAGTTACAATTCAAACATTTAGTACCCAGTTGAAGCTGCCTTTAAGAATGCAGAAAAAAATTAACCACACTGATGAAGTAGAGATCAACCATGGGTTGGGTGTTAGAATCAAGATGAAGGAGCACGTAAAGTGAACGAAACTCAGCCTCATTTCTGTAAACAGTACCAGAATCTCGATTTGCATCATACAGATTATATAGAGACATCAGAGCCTTTGTAAGCTGCTCCATGTTGAGGTAATGCACTGAAGAAATATTTGAACTGCTATGACAACGTTGAAGCTTGAGGTGAGATATAACATGAAATTTAACCTGTATAACAAAATTGTGTCCAAATATCACCTGCACGCCTTAAATTCCAAAGTTTCAAATATTTAGAGTTAATGAAATATATTACTATCCAGTCTCTTCAAAGAGAATCCCAGCAGTATCCAGTAGAAATGGTCCATTTGCTTATTTTGGTTGGCCATCTAGATGAACTCAGTGACATATCCACACAATTATCATCTAGGAACATGAAAAAAACTGCTACCTTTCTTCGCCTATAATGTCCCAAAATGATTATACAAGAGCAAATAATAGAAAAAGAAATAGCCTTAATCATTTACAGCTGCTATCACTTTATCAACAAATAGCACAACAAGCTATACTATTTTCTCAGAAAATGCCAAATGCTAGTAACTATTTATTGATTCTTATGAGAAAAGTGATTCTAGTAACCCAATTCATTATACATATATTGAACTTCATGAAAGAACAAGTCAATCACCCTATTGCTCTGTCACAAAAACTTACTGATGAGATGGAGATTTAGAACCATACCATTTCCTCATACATGTAGATTGATTTATCATCAACAATATTCTGCATGCTTAGATCTTGTCTTATAGACCTTGTCCTATCAAAAATGAAGTCATGAACCACTTCAAAAGGATGGTCTGTTGAATCCAGCAAATTTAAGAGATAGGCCAAAGTGTCTTCTAATACTGGAAGTGGCCGCACATCAGATGCTTGCATGTGCTTGGCGGATATAGTTCTGCAAAACTAGTGAGGGAAGTCCAAAGTGATGAATTTTGAATCTTATAAATGTTTAATGCACTATGAAACAACTAATAACAACATGCAGGAGACTCAAAAACACCTAATAACAAAAATGAAGCATCCTAACATTACAGAGAAAATAAACGCATCTAACATTGTCCAAAGATGAAAAGAAAAGAAAGGTGGCAACAAATAAATTAGAATCTAAATGATTATGAAAGAAAAGAAAAGGAAAAGTGGATAACATACCAAAGAACTATTAATAGTACAAAAACATTCTACAAGAATCACGTGAAAGCTTCCAGTTACATAAATGAATCGAAAAGATACATAACAAAAAAATTGGATGGAGATCATTACTAAGGCACTTATGGTAATGATGATAACTGATCCAGTGACTTCATAATAGCAAACAATTGCAATGTAGAAGATGTCATCCAAAGTAGAAAATTCCTCTGTTTTTTTATATGTCGAATTGGTTACAAAAGTTAATGCATAACAATTTAGAATAACTTCATCTGTGCATAAAAAAAATTAATAAATCAAGGCCGCCTAAGAAATTAAAGTCTTTGTAAAATGTCCTAAAATATGATAGAGCTCACTCCCAATACATTGCCCAATTTCAATTAGCTTGAATTTCTCAAACCTATATAATTGATAGCCTTATCAGACCAGCAATTCCGAAGCAGATTTAGAAAACAGTTGCAAATGGAATTGCTAGTCTGGCAGAAGACTAATCTCTACAACTAATAGACAATCGAGAGAGTGAGATTTCTGGCAAAATTGATATGTGTCGAGTGTAATAGCTACTATTGTGTATAGCTTATGGTGTATTTAGAAAATGTAACACACTCTTAAAGAAATGCCAAAAGGAAAGTAGAGGAAAAAACTTGCACTGCCAGAGGAGGTTGTGATTCAGTTGGTTTCAGTTAAAAGAAAAGTGGATGGAGACAATGGCAGAAAGGCATTCTGGAAGCACATAATGGTGCACGCAGGGATGGGATGAAAATGTTCCCGACAAGCTTGAACCCAATGCTCCTTGAAACAGCCAAAATGCAGGAACTTGGAGCAGTGCACTATGATCAATTTATATTAGAGGAAAAAATGATAATGAGGTCAGCAGACATAATAGGTGACTTACCTTTTTGACTGCTAAGGCTGGAGATGATTTCCTGGGATTTCCATTGAGCCTCTCAAACACAGCTAAATCTTGCAGTCGCTCTCGTTGGTACCTTTCACTCTCTATCATCACAGAGATGAATATATAAGTTGTCTTTGGAAAATAATAATAATAAAAAAACCCATAAACACTTCTGACACTAAAAACTGTCCCACCAAAAAAATCAAAATAGCACGACTGCCGCTGCTTCATTGAAAAATCTCGTTTCTTTCTTGAAACTAAAGAGAAACTTCCAAAGCACTTGATCAAATGTATAGCTGAGTGGAGCAAACATTGAATAAGAAAATCCAAGACAGAAGGAATCATAACTAGATGCTACAAAAAAACTCAACCTCAACGTGACTCAATTCATTCGCTCCAACACTAAATCGGATATCTAACTAAATAAAGCAAATCTGACAGGGGATATCTGCTCAAGAAGATAAAATTAGATGTCCTGGACAACAGAAAAGAATAACACATTGATCACTCCCCATCAAGCATGATTTCTCGGTCTCTCACGTAGCTAGCTTCCTCTCATATGTCTTTATAACAGCTTCTCGTCAAGATATACAGGTTAAAAGGGAGAGCAAAAATGGATCAATTTGGCAACTCACTTGCCACAAAGACCTAATGTCACAAGTTCACCTGAAATGCAAGACTATCTCAATCTAACAAATAGTCCTTCACACACTGCTGCCATTAATCAAAACAAAGAATAGAAACAAGTGCAAGACATACAAACAAAGAGACCCGACTCTTCCATTTATGACTAATAAAAGAGAAATCCAGCAAATGAGAAATTTCCCTGCTAAATTCTAACATACACCCATTTCGACAACGAATCTGTACGGATTCCCTCCTCTCAAACATTCACCAATAAACACAACAGCAGCTAGGACTGAATCAAAATTTTGCCTCCACGATATAAAGAGTGAACACTAAGCATCCAAAACCAGTCTATAACAAACGCTAAAATTTGACTCAAAGACTTAACCATGTAAAAGTTGTGTTTTTTGTTTCTTTTACCTGGGCACATAAAAGGGCAAGTTCCAATTAGTCTTGGAAACTCTAAAGAATCCGCTTCCTTATCTTCTTCTGTTTTGATTTTTGCTTTTTGGGTATTGCTGCTACTCGTGTTTCCTCTTCTGGGTTTCCATTGGGGATCATCATGGGCATTACTTCTATTGTTAGTAGCATAATTAGTGCCACTGCTGGATTCATTAAAGTTTGAAACTTTGGTGTTTCTGATCCTTGTTGATTGAGAAGAGGAAGGGAAAGAAGAATGGTTACCACGTCCCTGACGATTTTGATGGCTTCTCTCCATGGTTCGTTCCCTACTCCATAGACAGACAGCCAATAATGCTGTTAATTTGGTTACTTGTGGAATGGTAGTAGATTGTATGAAAGCAAGAGGACTTAATTAGAACTAAGTGAAACTCTCAAGGGCTAAAACTGCTTTTTTCAAGAAGATTGAAAGGAGCCCGGTGCTAAACTATCGAATCCAGCCCATTTGCTTCCTCTTGTGGCCGACTCCGTAGACAGAGACGGCCAAACCCACTTGGACAGAACAAAACCCTTGTTGGTCAGTGCTCTTCTCGTCGTCCTTCCAGGTGTCTCTCTCTCCATTTTTCACTAGCGTTTGTCCAATCTCAAACCCCAATTGCTTGTTCAAGAAGCTTCTTTTTGGCTTCCAAAATGGCCACTATTATACTCATGAGAAACTAGCTTTCTGTGCTTGAAAAACGTTTCTTGGTAACATCTTCTGTTGCTCTTTCTAGTCCTACCTCTACACTACCCACCAGTTTCTCTTCGCCGTCATTTACAGTTCAATTTCTCTACAATTCATGTGGGCTTCCCTTAAAATCATCTCTTTCGGTTTCTAAGAAGTTCCAAATGGATGAAAGGAAACTCCGAATTTGTACTTGAGTTCTTGAAAGCTCACAACTTCAGCGACACCCAGATCACCCAACTGATCCAGAATAATCCCCAAATCCTCCAAAGCAGAGTAGAAAGCAATATCAAGCCGAAGTTCGACTTCTTCGTTAAACATGGGTTAGTGGGCCAACTTCTGCCTGAGCTTATTGTGTCAAAACCATTTTTTTTTTACAAAACCTATACATTCTTAAATTAAGCCATGTTTTGGGTTCTTGAAGTCATTTCTTGGTTGTACTGGGAAAATTGTCGTGGCTCTTAGCGTTCTCCATGGCTGTTTACGTATAATGTGAAAGGTATTATGCAACCAAATATTGATTTGTTGATAAAAGAGGGAGTGACTTTTGACAGGATAGCAAAACTGATTATCTCACAAATAGGAGGCATACAGCAAAAGCATTCTAGGATGGTCTATACTGTGAATGCTCTTAAAAACTTGAGCATTGAACCAAAGACTCCCTTGTTTATACATGCTCTTAGAGTGATGTTACAAACAAGCGACTTCACTTGGAAGACGATAGTTGGAGTGTTGAACAGTTTGGGTTGGACTGTGGAGGAAATTATAAAGGCTTTTAAGCATGATCCCCTTATTTTGGGATGTTCAGAGGAGAAGATCAGGGATGTCATGGATTTTTTTGTGGTTACCTTGAGATTGAAACCTCAAACTGTTATTACGAACTCCTGGTTCCTTCATTACTGAATTGATAAAAGGCTCCGTCCAAGGTACAATGTTTTGAAGACTTGGAAGTCAAAGAATCTGATTGATGGGGACATCAGGATTGCGTGGCTGTTAAGGCTGCTAACATCATTGAGTGAGAAGAAATTCTTGGGAAACTTTGTTACTTAGTATGTAGACAGTGTCCCAGGTTTATTAGAGGCACATAAGGGTATCGGCAAGGCTGTAAAGACCGATACGTGATGGCAAAGAAAGTAAGTTTACTTCTGCAATGCATAATAGTAGTCTAAATTGCTTTTACCCTTCCCTTGGATTAGAATTGGTTTTGTGTTTGCCTGTTGGAATTTTCATTTCTGTGTTAATTTCTTGATATTATGAATTTAATTTCTTAACATTGTTCATAATGCTTTCTTAAAGTGTTCTGCCGGTAGTTGTTTTTACCATCATGTTTTATTCCTTGAGTCAGTTTCCTAGCCTTTTGTCATTTCTGAATTAGAGATTCAGCTTAGTACTGCATTTCAACAAGCTTTAAAGCATTGATTGCAATTCCTACCAACTTGCTATTTAAAAGCTATGCATTGTAACTGAAAGATTTTCTGGAATGTGGTTAGATGATTGTTTTGCAAACTGAGAGAGAGTATTTTTGTAGGTCATGAAGAACTTATATCGGAGGATAAATTCTGCTGGAGTATGTCTATAGCTTGGAAGAAAATGTAATACTGAGGAGCAGTTTACGATTCAGTTCTCTTTGGGAAGAATTTGAATGATATTTATGCCTTTGATTTTGAAACAGGGTATCAGTCTATATAAGGTTTTTGGCCAAGTAGTACTGTTACTTGTTATATATAAAGTACTACTAGCTGAGTTGCCGACAAAATCATGAAGGTACCCCGAGTGAGGGAGAGGGTTGAGAAGTGAATTTCAAACTCAGTGCTTACGATGAATGAATGAATGCATGTGCTTTGAATGGCTGTGCTGGAAACAAATTGTCAGCTACATGCTGAGAAGCTTATGATCATGGCTTCAGGTTAACTCAGGGATTTCATGTTAATATCCGCATATGGATTTCGTGAGTGATGGAGAATATGATCATCTTTTTGTGTCCAGGCTGTGGGCCAGACTTGCATGCATTTTTTGTGCTTTTCCTTGTATCTCTGTTGTTTTTGTTTGGCTTATTTGCAGCTTGATGGGCAGATACTGCTCAAGTAACAGGTCCTTGATTGATTGAGTTGCATGCTGGAAATAACAAAATTAAAGGGAGTGAAAGAACCTAATGTAGGAATCTTGGTTTATGAGTTTGGTTTCAAAAAAAAAGAAAAAGATTTAGGAGTGTGGAGCTTAGGGTCTGTTTCGATGGGGTTCACAAACAGCCTTTGGTTCGAGAGTAAATTATATAGCCTCAGTTTTTGGCCATGAATATTTTGCTAGAGAGTTCATCTATGCATAGATGCATGTAGTTTCTAAGTTGAATTGAACACTTGTGGCGGGTCAAGTAAACTCAATTTTCACTTTTGATCTGTGGACGTGTAAACAACCATTCCAGGTTTATAAATAAGGGCTCAATTCTTCAAATTACTAACAGTTTTTAGCTTATTGGTTTTGATTATTAGGCCTTCTACAATTCAATACTTCCATGTTGTCCGCATGAGACAAATTTAAATAGCAGATGTATCTCTTGGTACTCTAGAGGTCATTGTTCTAGCCTTACCTCCAGTCTCCTCGACCTTACAGATTCTGTTTTGCATGGATGCTGGTACTGTATTTTTTTTTTCTGGCCAATGTTAGCTTGTAATCAGGTTGTTGAAGATGACTTATCAATTGCTGGACAAGGTGTTGTGCATCAAACATGAAGAAGCAATTACTGTTAAGTTTAGTTGTTGTTGTGTGTGTGTGTATGAAGATGACCTGTCCTTCAATTGAAGAGGCCAGTTGCTAGGGATGAAGACTTCGATGGCAGAGTTGTGTTTGCATATCATGCATCTTTCAAGTGTAGTGCTACGGTAGAACTTTGGGGGATAGTGCTATATGGAACACAACATCTTCATTTTTCAAGGAATACCTTGGATCGTGAAGCCCTTTATACTCGAGCTATCAGATTTCATGTCCATAGGAGTAATAGTCGAAAGAAATGTTAAATATCATTTGCCTAGGTGTGAAAGGTAGCTGTAAATCTAGCAATGATGCATAAAATCCAGCTAAGAATGAAGATCAAGACCCTAAGAAATTGACCCCAAGCTAAGCAGCGCTGCAACTGTTGTAAAGGAAGAAGGTGGCAGCCTCCATACGAAGGGATGCGGAATACACTTTTGGTAAAAGGACTTGGAGATGGTTTCAGAAGCACAAGCATTCCATGAGGCAGTGATGATTACAAGGAAGATTGAGAGAGAAGTAACAGAAGATTATTCAAAATTAATTATTAATTTTTGCAAGGGAGGGGTGATTATGGATAAGGAGATTATGGCACCACACATTGATGCTTTGACATCATCAAGGAGCTTGCAAGGTTGTTTTTATTCATTCATTTACTATTTTTTTTTTCTCGTTTTGGTTAATGCATGTGACTGTGCTGTTTATGACCAAAAGAAGCCCTCTTGCCTATTCTAGAATTGCAGTAACTTCTATTCTTGAATGTATTTTAAGTGTTTTAATTATTATTTTTTTAGTGTTTTTTTATTATTATTTTGATTTGTTGATGTTAAAAATAAAAAAATAATAATAACATTTTTTAATGTGTTTTTAAATAATAAAAAAAATACTTTACAGGATAATACCAAATATACACGAAATCCGGATAGATTTGCAACATGAAACACTGCAATTTCCTTTTCTATTAATGAAAAGCACGACTCTCTGATTATATTTAGGTAGTGTTTCACAAGTATAAAAGAGACATTGATTCTTGGTTGAAAGGATGAAAGGAAAGATGTGAAAATAAATTTATTTTTAAAATAGTTTTAGATTGAATTTTTATATTTATAAAACATGAATAAAACATGTTTTGTTTATTTTAATTATGTATCTTTTTTAATTCCAAGATAATAATTAAAAGTTGACTATTAAAATATAAATTTACATTTATGTTATCTAAATCCTTAAATTTCCGATCGTGGATATTTAAAATGATTGCTATAGTGAAGTGAATTACCATTACATTGAGGTAGGCCAAAAAAAAAAAAGATTAATTTTAATTTGTCCTCTTAAGGTCTGGGGTGAATTGAGTTTCTCCTCTTAATTTCCCGTGGTACGTTGCGATATAAAAATATTTTACGTATAAAAAAATAATATTTAAATAAAGAATTTTTTTAAATATGTTATGAAATTCGAGGTGAAATCTTAAATTTTCTGAACATTTATCAACTTAAATATAAAGGATTTATTTGGATTTAACTTGATTGATTTAACAAGTTAATAAAAATTTAAACAATTAATAATAAATATATTGTTTTTTTTTTCAAGATGATTTTTTATTAATTTATTTAAGTTTAATAAATTTATTTTTATTTAATTATATAATAAAAATAAATAGTTATACAATTCAGTATTAATATAATAATAATAATAATAGTTAGTAATAACATCAAGCATCAACCTAAAATTTGAATCACGAGTTTTAATTAAATCATCAAATATTTTAAAATCAATTTTTATTTTTATTTTATAAAACAAAATAATATTATTTTTGTTAAGAAAATAAATAGTTGATAAGTTGTAATCAAGTTTTTAATTAGATTTTTATGAGTTAATTCAATTTTTTAACTGGTCATCCATATTTTTTTTTTCTTTAACTCAAGCTTAATTTCAGTCTCGAGTTAATCAAGTCCTAAATCAAATTATTAATCTAGGCTAAGATTAAAACTATGATGCAAAGCTCTTTTTTTTTTTTTTTTTACATTTTAAGCTATTTTCTTGAGCATTGAAAAAAGGGGCAGGGTGCGGGGAACTCCTAGAAAATGTTACTAAACTAGATTTAATTGATGGGTTTTGAAATCTTCCAACTTTATTATTCATTTAGCATAAGCTTTAAATTAAATATTATAGAAGATGCCATAATGTGTCATAATTGAGTTGGTAAGTCTAAAAATAATATTGATAAATAATAAAAATATAGGTTGACATAAAAAAAATAGAATGACAGTAACATTTTTTGATATAAAAATTTAAAAGATAAATTAAATATTATTATCTATATTAATAATAAACTCAACACTATTAGATCGAATGTTGTAATAAGACGCAATACTTTTAATTTTATATTTTATATAAAATTAAAAAGTTTCACCTAATACCTTGCAAGTCAATTGAATGGTTATTATAGAATAAAAAATTAATTGTTTAGCACGTGTGATACAAACGCCGGAATGGGGCAAGCGACTTTATCTGTCCTCAAAAGACAATCATTCTTTGTATCTCAAGAATAGTATCGACATGACCTTCCATTCAAGGCGTTTAGGGGTGGCCCCTTCCTTTTCTTCCCTCTTTTTTTATTTTAATCTTCTCCCCTCACCTTCCCTCCGGATTCCGCCCATGAATTGTTTTTTCTGCCTTGCATTTCATGCTTGCTGTCAATTGCAATCCCTTTATAGTAATTCGTTGCAAGGTTGAGTCCTAACACTCGACTCTCTAGTAACTTTCATTCTATGCCCCCTCTGGTTTGGCAACATTTCTATGCCCCTTGTACTCTGTAAAAATAAAGAAGAAGAAGAAGAAGAAGAAGAAGAAACGCTCCCCTCCTCCTCCCCCTCCCGCAAAAGTATCCCTGAAGACTCAAAGCGAACACCACCATGAAGACGATGATGATGCTCTTTCCAGAGATAGCTGCCGATATTCTAAGCAGACTACCGGTCAAATCTCTCAAACGTTTCAGGTGCGTGTCTAAATCATGGTGCAAAGAAATCGACAGTCCATACTTTATCAACACTCATCTCAAAAGATCATCACAAGCACACACCCATCTCAGCCTCATTCTTAGAGATACCACCAAGTTATGCACTGTAGACTTGGACTCACCCGACTTCACCTCCATAGAACTGAAAAGCAATCCTTTAAAAAGTGACCACTGCGCTACTGAAGTAATGGGTTCTTGTAATGGACTGCTTGCCCTGTTAAATTCTGACTTTAGAATTGCTTTATATAATCCATCAACTAGAGAAAAGAAAATGATACCCGTTTCACCATTAGAGTTGCCAAATGACTTGGACGATTCTAAAGTGTCTAGCCTGTTCAATTTTTATGGATTTGGACATGACCCCGTTAATGAAGACTATAAAGTTGTGAGATTTATACACTTTTATGGTGATAGTCCTGATGGGTTTTTTCACTGTGAGGTTAAAGTTTATAGCTTGAAATCAAATTCTTGGAAAAGAATTGATGACTATCCTTATGACTTGAGGTTTATTCTGCCACCTGATTATCACCCTCGCTGTAGAAGAGGGTATGGTGTGTTTGCTAATAGTGCTGTTCATTGGAAGGCTACTGTAGTGGGAAAGGGAAAAGAAAATGGGAGTGATTTGATTCTCGCTTTTGATCTTGGAGCTGAAGAATTTAAGATAATACCACAGCCTGATTATTCCAGCAATGAACATGAAATGAATGTGGGAGTTTTAGGAGGTTGTTTATGTGTATTTTGTAATAGGAACTGTGAACAGGTTGAAATATGGGTGATGAAGGAATATGGTGTGAAGGAATCTTGGACTCAGTTGTGTACCGTTATTGCAAAGCTACAAGTGAAGGAATTTTGGTTGCATGCTAGACCTTTAGCTTATTCAAAGGGTGGAGATAAAATTCTGCTGGAATTGGATAATAGGTTTTTGGTTTGGTATGATTTGAGAAGGAGAAAGTCCAAGATTATCAAGATTCGTGGTGCTCCTCCGATTTTTATAGCTGAGATTAGTGTAGGAAGCCTTGTCACACTAAATGGAGGTGGTGAGGGTCAGACTAGTGGGAAGGACACACAAGAGAAAAGGAAGACTAGAAAGAAAAGGTTTGTTTTATTCACTTTGTTCAAGCTTGGTCCTTTTTTATGGTTTTACTAATTTGTTCCCTTCTATACTTTCAATGATATAGTTTGACAATTGGTTAAGTTGCCATGCTTGAATGCTTAAGCATACTCATCTTTGGTGCTCATCAAAATCCATGTTTTGGTATGGTTATTTATGATCCGATATCTATTAATTCCTGTGTCTGCCAGGGATCAGTTCTTATCAAAGGGGTTCAAGCTGGTTTTATGATTTAGTAGAGAAGGATGTTAAATTGGAGTGTATCAATATCATCATAGGTAAATCAATAAATTCAACCACAATATTCTTGCTAATTAATGCTTGTTATGCTTGACCTAATTTGTTCCTTTTTTGTGCTTTTATGCTGAACATAACTCGTTTTCTTTTTTTTCTGACTATGCTATCTCCGATCTTCTTAAATTCTTACTCTCTCCCACATTTCTGGCTTCAAGATGAGGTAATAACCAATAAGATCTTCACTTATGCACAAGATCATTTTCTCCTCTCAAGGTTTTAAGCTCATTTTTTTATTATGAATTTGTCTAATCTCGTTTTGTGTCGAACTGCTGATACACCTTATCAGAAAGTTTGCCTGGTCATTGTAAGTGTTCCAATTAGATCTTTAAGAGTCATTGTAGTTGACTTGCCATTTCTTGATGCTGTTACAGATTTGACGTGGACTTTGAACCAAATATGGCAGTGGATGTTATTTAGAGATTCACGTAATCATGTAGATTGGAGCATTTATGAAACTTATAGAAATGATCTCTTTTGCCATGTAATATATATATATATATATATAAAAAAAAAAAATTGGCCAATGCTGTTAATGTTGTAATGCAGACAGTATTTCATCATTAAGTTTTATGTCATATGACTGATTTTTTCTTGGCAAAAAACCCAGACTGTTATCTAATCATCTTTGTTTTTCTCAGGGCTGGTAATAGTTGGTTTAGAATGCAAACTTGGAAAACTATGGACATGGAGCGCATGGATGGGGATCTTTATTTGCTTTTCTCTGATACAGGACCACAAGAACTTAATGTTAGTTTTTTAGGGAATATAGTTTTTCGGGCTTTATGATATAGTAGCGTTTGAGGAACTCAGATTCTTCTACTTCTGGACAGTGTTGTGGGTTGTACCTTGTTAGGGCTTATTATGTCTATAGAACGTATTTAAAAGCATTTAATATGCTCTTTGAAGGATGATAGCTGTTCATACATCAATCTAACTCATCCTTTAATTAAATTGATTTTGGTAGCTGTCCACTTGTATTTTGGAAGAACGAATGCTTTGAATTTTATTTTTTTTAGTTGAATAGAAGTCCATATTATTTTTAGGGAATGCCAAGAAGGATCAAGATCAGGGATGACAATGGGTCGGGTCAGAGCAGGGTGAGTTCTTACAGAGGATCGAGAATAGGGATAGCAATGCAGTGAAATTTCTAGTGAATGATCAATGGTGGTGGTGGTCTTTATAGTGTTGTTTGTGTCCAGGCCATTCTGTACGTCCTAACTTCTAGTGGTTCAAATGCCAGAGAGATAATACAGGAATGGATCTTCTGTACACTTAAGTTTCTAAAATCTTCTTGATGATGTTAATTAGCATTGCGATAATTTTATCTGTCAAAAAGGGGATTGATTTTCTCCCTTTATTTCTTTTACTTGTGTTGTGTTTTGAACACCAGGGAGGCTTGAACCATGACAGGATTTCCTTAATTACTTTGTCTAAATGCAGCAAGTTCAAGTCCCAGTTGAAGCAGGGGTAGCGCGGTGTGGAGGGTGGTATAGATCAATGGACTCGTCAAAGTTAGTTTTTTTGTAGTATCTCCAAGTACTTGAGCTCCAATGATTAAGATTTGAGTGCTAATTTTGCATTATTGATCGAGCTCTTCAAATAGCACTTCCTCTGATAAATTATCATTGCTAGATAACAAGTAACAACATTCTCCACTTATGGCATCCTAATCTGGAATAAGTCAGAGTTCTAGTAGCATAAATGGGTTTCCTAAAAGTGTAATAGCATGTAGAGGTACTGATACCAGGACATGTTAGTGAGGGATAGCTCAGTGAAACTTGAATTTCTAAAAAAACTGAGCACAAAATTCATGTGTCAAATTTCTGATTAACAAAGGAGCTGTCAGTTCTAATATTGATTTATTTGTGTTTGGTTAGTGTTTTAAAACAAAAAAGACCTGTACAGAAAAGATAGAAATGTTTTGCAATGAATTTATGTATCTTCAAAACAAAAACACAGGGAGATATATGTTCCATATCCATACTGTCTCCATTTCTTCTATCATGAGATGATAACCAAATTCAACACATGATTCTTCAAAAAGACAATTGAACGAAAGGTGTTCTTTTAAACACCTCATAATGATATGATAGTATCTTCAAGCTTATGTTTTCTTTCAGACTGCATCTTTCCTTGTGTAGACTCTGCCATGATGAAATCGTTGAGTTGGTCAGACAAACAGGTCGGCAGACTCTGATTCCTTGCACTCCAGCCTTCAAAGGAAGTAACCTTGGCTGTTCCGCAAATTGCCTGCGCGAACCAATTGTCATGCTTACCAATATGTCAGCTGTATCTGGAACTCCACGCACAGCAGTTCTGCCCATGTTAATAGATTGTGGCTCAAATCTGAATTGCTTGGCAGGACTTGAAACATCCTCGTTGTTAGCCCTGTTGAAGTTGCAATGTACAATAGTCCTTGAACAAGCGTGTAACATGTTGGGGGAAGGAAAACTGTAATCGAGACTTGAATTAGACAAAGCCCCATGATATATCTTGTCACATTTCAGCTCTGATTCTCCACTTGTTCTAGCTGATAAAATAGATCTATCAGCCGCGGTCCTGAAGCAAAGGAAAGTAGTATAAAAGCAACTCCTGAAGAAAGGATGTTTCAAGGCCTCCTCAGCAGGGGGCCTATCGCAGAGATTCCAAGGACAAAGCATTGAAAAAAGGTTGGTGGCGTCCTCGCTAGCAGATGGTATCAATGCAGCTAGCTGGACGCTATCAAACTTTGGAAACTGTTTAGTCCTTGCAAGATGAATTCCATCAGCCCATGAATCCACAGTTCGACTGCCTAGCAATCTGCATATTCTGTACATCTGCTTTGTGCGGACGAAGAACAGCCCTAGCAGCGGACTGCCACTGTGGTATGAAGAGTGGTAAGATCAGTGGACTTGTCGAAGCCAATGTTTCAGCTATCTCAAAACAAATATTACAGAATCCAATTCCTCAAAGTCCAATCTCTAAGATTTGATACTTCTTTTTCGCGTTGATTGATTGAGCCCCATATAGCATTGCTCCAACTTAAGTTATCATTGCTAGCTTAGCTAACAACTAACAACATTCTCCACTTATGACATCCTAATTTGGAATAACTCAGAACAAGTGGAATTAATGGCTACCTTATGGTAGTATTTTGTTACTGTTCTGAGATTGAAGAGACGGAGATAGTGGAGACTAATTCTCTTTATGAGTTTAATACCATGCACAACTAGTGATATGGCTTGTGGGAACATTCTAATGAGGGGTTAACTCGGTGAAACTAATTTCATAAGAAAACTGAAGAGATTTAGCAGGAAAATCACGTGTCAAAATTTTCTGTTTCAACAATGAAGCTCAATTCTTATATATGATATACTGAACAGACAAGTCCATGCTTTGAAAAATAATAAAATTACAAATACCTCTGAATAATAGTCTCTTCTCTTACCTTGTGTTTACATTGATGCTACAGCTTGTCTGTCAGGATGAAATTGCGGGGTTGGTCCGATAAGCATGTCAGCAGATCCTTTGATTCCTTACACTCCAGCCCTGGAAGGAAGTGGCCTTGGATGCTTCACAAATTGATTGTACGAACCAATTGTCATGTTTGGCAATTGCCAGTATCTGAAACTCCTAGCTCAGTAGTTCTGCTCATGTTTATGGATCGTGTTCCAAATTCGAATTGCTTGGCAGGACTTGAAACACCCTGGTTAGCCCTTTTAAAGTCGCAACACACAATCGTACCTGAACAAGCGTGTAATTTATTGGGGGGAGGAAAATTGTAATCTAGACTTCAATTAGATAAACCCCATGATATCTATTCTCGGATTTCTGCTCTAATTGGCCGCTTGTTCTGGCGGATAGAATTGCGGCCATTAGCGGTGGCCGGAAGGAGGAATATAAAAGCCAGTCCTGAAGAAAGGATGTTTTAAGGCCTCCTCAGCGGTGGGCCGATCGCAAGGATTCCAAGAAATAAGCATTGAAATAAGGTTGATAGCATCCTTACTAGCAGAAGGTATCACTGCAGAAAACCAGGCACCATCAAACTTTGGAAATTTGTACTTAATAGTCCTCGCGAGATGAATTCCTTCAGCCCATGAATCCATATTTGGAGTGCCCAGTGCACTGCATATTCTGTACATCTGGTTTGCTCCACTGGTACCAGGAAAGAGGGGACAGAGATTGAATAACTCAGCCATGATAGCACCCATAGCCCACATATCAACTTTAGAACTATAAGAATACGAGTGCAGGATATTTTCAGGCGCTCGATACCAGCGAGAGCAGACGTGTATACGGAGGTTTTGAATTGATTTCTCTTGCAAGACCAAAGTCGGCAATCTTGACAGCGTCTCTGGTAACCAACAAGTTCTCTGGCTTCAGGTCACGGTGAAAACAACCTTGCTTGTGCATGTAATCGAGACCCTGAAACACCTGGCGACACAAGTCCCTGATTTCTGCTCTTGTGAACCGGGTTTTCGTGTCTTCAATGACTTGATAAAGGTTCTTTTCCATGCACTAGAAAATCAAATACAAGATGTTGTTTTAGTGGATTAGTTCGTTAAGCTTCATAATGTTAGGATGATTCAACTTCTTTAAGGACTTGACTTCTCTCGAATTCAGACATTTTTCCCATGAGTCGTACTTTCTCTTGATCTGCTTAACGGCAACTAGTTCACTGGACTCTCGATTAATCGCTTGCCGGACACTGCCAGAGGTACCCTCCCGAGCTCCTTAACTACCTTGTACTTGCCGATTTTGCACCCAACGATCCGAGTTTTATAGGAAAATACTGATTGCCATAAATCTGACCAGCAATGAAGAAACCTAGAGGAACTGTTAATGATAGAGAAACCCCAAGTTGCTGACTTCCTGGATTGATAAAACACCATTGTGGAATGTGATAGCAGTTTAAACCGAACCCAAATGGACAAAACCCTAAAAGCAAATCCCTTTTGTCTGTCTGTGCGCAAATACTAGCCCAGTCTGTTTTTCTTTAGCTTGGATCTGATAACTATAGACTCGAGGAAATTCCAGGAGCTTACAGCTAACTTACCAAGTAAACGAACTCTTTGGCTTAGAATTGGAGATTTGTATAATAATTAAGCTCAAACTCTTGCCTCGAATTTGTAATTTGGATACGTTTCTCGTACTGCTGTTGGTTAATGTTTCAAGAACAAGTAATTTTTTTTTTCCTCATGTGTTAACTGAATTTGTTTAATGTCTTATCCTTATTTTCTACTTTAAATATAAACCTAAGTATACACATATGACTACAACGAAATTTCCAGTTGCTATAGTCTTAAAAGAACATTATCACTTTCTTCATTCATAGTTGTTTCCAGGTTTTTTTTTTTGTTACTATATATATAAAAGAAAAAATAAAGATGATAAAGGACAAAAATATATTTCATTAAAGAGATAAAAATAAAAATAAAAATATTTCTAAAATAATTTTTAAGTGAAATATAGAGAGTATAAATCTCTAGAGACAATATTTAAAAAAAAATATTCTTGTAAAAAAAATTTAATTCCAAGATTGTTTAATTAAGATATATTAGAATAAAAATAGTTATTATTATAATTTTAAAACTTAACTCGAGAATCGATCCGAAACAAAACCCAAGATATTAGTTGAAGTTTGGGTCATAGGTTAGGTTGGCCTGAGTGAATATAAAATTATAAATAATTATTATTATAATTTTAAAATCTAATTTAATGGACAACCTGAAGCAAGGACCAAGTCATGAGTGAGGTTGACTACTAACTCGAGTCAATATAATGATAAAAAATATTATTATTATTATTATAGTTTTAAAATTCGACTTAATGATCAACTTAAGATAAAATTTGGTTCATATATCAAGAGGGTCAAGTCAATTTTACTTGGATAAATATAATTATTATCATAGCTTTAAAACTTGATTTGAGAATCGACTCAGGGCAATACTTAAGTCATGGATCAAAAAGGTCAATTTAGGTTGACTTGAGTCAATGTAAAAATAAAAATTGTTATTAAAAGTTAAGACAAGTTGACTTGAGTTAATGTTTGGATAAAAAAATATTATTATCATCATTTTAAAACTTAACTAAAAACAAAGTTCATGTTACGGGTTAAAAAGGTCACTTGACACACTTAAAATTTTGTTTAAAAATAATCAAATTAACCTTATTTTGATCATAAAAATTCTTTGAAAAAATCAATAGGTTTTTAACTTGTGTTTTATTTCAAAACTTAGTTTTTTAACCAAATTTGATTTAGGCAATTTTCCAATCTAAATTTTGGATTAACCTGTTAAGTCAGTCATGATTTTATAACTAAATTATTATAATATTGATAATTTCAACATTAAATATAAACTAAAATAAAAAAATCTAATTATTTTTTTAAAATATATAAGATCAACAACAATACATATTAAAAATAAAATAATTTTTTATATTATTTTATATTTTATCCATACTGACCAAATAAGATAAAAAAAATTATTTTATTCTCATATCCTTACCAAATACAATTTTATCTAATTTTATCTATTTTTTTTATTTTTTCAATGTTTTTATATTCTTTTTTTTCAGGTGATAATAACAAAAAATTACTATAAGGTACATGCAAGTACTTCTCTTCCATCTTATTAATGATTTGGATGGGAAATCCTTTTGTTTTGAATGATTTAACATTTGGATTTAAAATGATAAGCTCATGATTCCAGCTTGAGGTCGAGTTTTATTTTAAATTGATTTTAATATTAATTTCCTCAAATTTAATTATCTTAATTGATTAATTTGCTATCTAATTCATGTAATCAAATCCAACCATAACAACAAAATAAAATAATTTAAAATAAAATTAAAACGAAATGGTTTTTCAATAAAAAATAATGATAGACCCGGGTAACCCAAAAACCCATGAATTGATCCACTGAACGAAGCACTCTTATGGGTCAGACCCCGGGCCGTGCATGACACCTATGTTTTCTGGTTCCTTCACAATTAGGGCATTTCCAACGGCGGAGACAGATCAAAAGTCATAAGCAATAACTCATAATTCAACATTTTTTTTTTTTTTTTTATCTACAATAGGATAGTAAGTAAGATGCTAAAATGGCTTTGTCAAGATGAAAAGTCGTCATGATTGTATGTTTAAAATAAATAAAAAACTATAAAATAAAGGGAAAATCTAAATTGTTTTTAATTTTAAAACTTCTCCTCTTTCTTGACTCGTTTTATGTTTAAATACAAAATGGCTTATCAGAACATCATTTTCCGTTGGAGTGTTAACGGGAAACAATTCGAATCCAAACCCACCCGCCCAACCAGACCCGATCGGTTATGATTTACGAAAGAAACCCAAAACCCCCTGTAAGAAACTTTCTGCTTGCATCCAGAATGAGAAGCCTGCTTTCTCTAATGCATGAACGTTTTCTATCAAGTAGTCCATTTTCATCATCATCATTTGCAGTTGAGTGCCTCGTAAACTCATGTGGGCTTCCCTCAAAATCAGCTCTTGAATTTTCCCGAGACTTCCACCTCCATGAAAACAACCTCCAAAGCTTCCAATCTGTATTCCACTGCTTCCAGTCCCACAACATTCCCAGCACCCGCATAACCAAATTGATTAAAAGGCGGCCTCAGATCCTCAATTACAGTGTGGAAGACAACCTCAAGCCTAAACTCCAGCTCCTCGTGCAAAATGGCATCGTGGGTCATCACATGTGCAAGGTTTTCGTATCAAATCCGGTAATTTTGAACGCTGACTTAGATTCTCAAATTAAACCATGTTTTCAGTTTTTAAAGTCTGTTCTTGGTAGTAATAGGAATGTCGTAGAAGCTATCAATCGTTCTTCCAATTTGTTGACTTGTGATTTGAAGGGTTGTTTACAACCAAATATTGATTTTTTGATTGAAGAGGGGGTGCCTTTTGACGGGGTTGCTGAATTTCTTATTAGGGACGCAATAACTGTACAGCACAAGCATAATAGTATGGTCAATGCAGTGAATGATCTTAAGAATCTGGGATTTGATCCAAAGGCTCCTGTTTTTCTTGAGGCTGTTAGAGTGAGGATTCACATGAGTGAGTCAATTTGGAAGGAGAAAATTGAAGTGATGAAGAGTTTGGGGTGGAGTGAAGGGGAGATTTTTTCGGCTTTTAAGCGAGATCCGAATTTTTTAAAATCTCCAGTGGAGAAAATCAGGGTGGCGACGGATTTCTTTGTGAATACATTGAAATTGGGACGGGAAATTTTAAGTGAAGATCCTGAATTTTTTACCCTTAAAATTGATAAAAGTTGTCGTAGGAGGTATGGTGTTTTCACACTTTTGGAGTCTGAGAAGCTGATCGAAGGGGGTGTGAAGATTGAGGAAGTGCTCAAAATGAGGGATAAGGAGTTCTTGGTGAAATACGTTAAGAAGTATGTGGACAAAGTCCCAGGTTTATGGGAGACATTCAATGGTAGGAAGCAACAACAATCTTTACCCCGGTCGAACAGAGGTAATATTGGTTAATTTGTTTCCTGAACTTTCAATTTGGATGTTGGTTTTTGATGCCATCTGCCATTTCTTTCCTGGTCATTTTTGTTCTATCTCTTTCCTTTACATTTTTTCACTTTTACTTTGCAGACTTTAACTTGCTATGTATATTTGAGAGCATACAAAGCATCCATTTGATTGTTAAAGTGTGAAGCACACATTAATTTCATATTTAGGCCCGTCCAATCAGCTCCGCAGTTCATATCTTTTAGATAATTGTAAGGTCACATAATGGTCTGATGTTATCTGCTGAGATGATTATGTGACCTTACAATTGTCTGCTGCTGATTTTTGGATATTGTTTTTGATGTTATCTGGTGCTGGTTTCATGGTCCTTTTTGTTCATTTGATTTCCTTTACCTCTCTCACTTTAACTCGCATATTTGAACTGACTGCTTATATGTGGGAACTTATGAATCGTTGATTATATTGTTAGATTGCCAAGCATATCATTAATTTCATTTTCAGGTCTGACCAGCTCTATACTTCGTGTCTAAGAGTTTTCTGATAATTGCTAGGCTGTATAATCATCCCACGGTAAAATGATTGCATTAGAAATTTACAAATACATGGATATTCAAAGCAAATAAATCTGAACCACATGATTAGCTGAGCGGCCTCTTCTTGCTGTAAGGGGGATGTCTTAGGTTTGAATCTGGGATTGGAATGTGGAAATAAAGGAGATGAGTTAGCATCAGGTTAAAGGTTTTCAAAGAATAAATGAATTCAACTAGAACTATACAAATGCAATTTGCATATTCGGTGGCAGTTCTAACCAAGGGTTGTCTTGAGTTAACGGATGAAGCATTAGAATTTAGATGAGCCAAAAAGAAAAAAGAAAACTGTATGGCCTTTTCTTTTATATGATAGTAAGCTTTAAGGGCCTAGATCAACTGATATCAGTGTTGTTAAATGTTTCTTGTTATATGACTTTGATATCAGTGTTGCTATTTTGATCTTTAATGTATCAGACAAATCTTAACAAAGACACAACTTCTGTTACAAATTGTGCCCAACTAGTTGAATTTTTTGCAGTGCTACAGCAATGGGGAAAAGCAGCTCGTTGAGAGAAGGGAAATTATAATTGATGGGCTAGTGAAGAAACACCCACCAGTTCATGCCCTGCCGAAGCAGCTAAAATTGTTTCTGATGACGAAGCTCTATGCATGAAGAATTTTGGAACTGATTGTGGTGTAGATAATGAACCGATGGATGCAACTTCTCAAAAGTGATATTATTAGGAATGTCATCATAGTGTACACTGAATTCAAAGAATTCACTGCGATGTGGGAATGAAGTGCAAGTTTTGGGGTAGCTTGTTGCTAGTTTAGAGAGACACCCCTTACGAAATAAATAGCATCCCTTGTAATCTTGCCATAGTCTTTTTACTTGAGCATACGAATGCTAGTGCAATTGTAGCTGCTGTATATGGGTGGGGATCAGGATTGTCATCAAATCCTCGGATGGTTGAATTTTATTCTTTGTTTTTGAAAACAGCAAGTAACTTTAGCTCACATGTTTTGTTTTAGGGGAATGCCTATGGTGCTTAAAAGAGGGTAGCTCTCTGCTCCATATTTTGGTGTTCATAAATTCATTTTAATGGTCTGTTTTAGAAGAGGAACGGTGGCCAATGGCATGGTGTTCAAGGTTGATACTTGGATTCTTAAAAGTGTCATTTCATAATCAGCATCCCTTATTGGTTAATTCATGTACTTACCAATTGTCATGGTATTCTTGCTTGGAAAGGAGCTGAGTTCTCGAAGTTGCTTAAAGTGAGCTCCTAGACTGGTTACAAAAGATGTAGAACAAAACAAAGCCAGGTCTAACAACTATTCATATGCAGAAGTAAATTGAAACGGAGCCAGGATCTGGATTCGGGTTTGGATTTCTCAGGCCAATCCACCGTACATATGGGATAGACACAAACCAGAAAGAAAACTTAGGACAGCATAAGAAACCATTTTTGGTCTATAACATTTTGAAATCATGTTTATCATGTCTGAGATGTGCTATAAAGATCACAAATCTGAACATGAGCATGCATCGAACTGCCTGCAGATTGCATGGCTGCCACTTGCCACACAAAAAAGTTGGGTTTTGTATTCTATTTTTGTAATCGAGTGGTATTGCTGGATCATCTTTTACCTATCAAAACTAATTTCCAACTTTCACTGTCAGCTAACTAGAAAGCGACTACAATGATATATGAATGACTTGCCTGATCACATAATGGAGATTGGTTGATAGCAATGGACAAATTAGCATGCTCATATTCCAGGCTAGAAATGGTACAAGCTAGACAAATTCAATTTATATGAGCATGCCAGGTTTTGATGGATTGTATCAATGATTTTTCTTGTTTGCTAGCGTATTTCTTAAACCAAAGGGAATGAGTTAATAATGTACTTGTTAAGCCAGGCTCACGAGTTGATTTAAAAAACTGAGATACAAATCCCAACTTTGATCAGATTTTTTTGTTGGATTGATAAACACGGTTGCTTCAAATAAGTTTTTAATATTTTTATAAAAAAATCAATTTTTTATATATATATATTCCACGGTGTGAGCACCTTTAAGGCTGAAAAGGCTTATGGAAATCTTATCTTATCTGTCCCAAACCCAACAGCTGCTAGCATTAAATGGTCTCAAAAACTCCACTCGTTTGATCTTCTGTGTTGTCCACAGAACACATTTTGCTTCCGAGGAATGGCAAGTAATGTACCACTGAGAAACCTGCTTTCTCTGGTACAAAATCGTTCCTTGAAAACATCCACTGCACCTCCCAATACTTCATCCCCATCGTCATTTACTGTACAATACCTCCTTAGCTCATCTGGGCTTCACTTAGAATCTGTTCATTCAGTTTCCCAGAAGCTCCAAATCGATGAAAGTGATCTTCAAAACCCGCATTATGTCATCGGGTTCTTGAAAGCTCACGATTTTAAGGATGCCCACATAGCCAAATTGATCCACAAGTGGCCTGCTGTCCTCCATTGCAAAGTAGAACACAATTTGAAGCCTAAATTTGAGTTCTTCATAGAAAATGGTTTTGTTGGTGAGATTCTGCCCGAGCTTATTGTATCAAATCCGGATGTTTTGAGAAGGGCTTTAGATTCTCGAATTATACCATGCTTTGAGCTTTTGAAGTCGGTTCTTGGTTGCAGTGAGAAAGCTGCATCGGCTTTTAAGCGTTGTTCGGTATCAATGATGTCTGCCATGGAACCGAACATTGATCTATTGATAAAAGAGGGAGTGCCTGTCGATAGGATTGCAAAACTGATTATGTTGCAACCAAGAACTATACAGCAAAAGCATCAGAGGATGATTTATGCTGTGAAAGCTCTTAAAGATTTGGAAATCGATTCAAAGACTACCGTTTTTATACATGCTCTTAGAGTGATGTTACAAATGAGCGAGTCCACTTGGAACAAGAAAGTTGAAGTGTTGAAGAGTTTGGGGTGGACCGAGGAGGAGATTTTACAGGCTTTTAAGCGATGCCCCTTTTGTTTTACATGTTCGGAGGAGAAAATCAGGAGTGTAGTGGATTTCCTGGTGAACACATTGAAGATGGAACTGCGAACTGTAATTGAACGTCCCGAGTTTCTTATGCTGTCTGTTGATAAAAGGATTCGTCCAAGGTACAATGTGTTAAAGATTTTGGAGTCGAAGAAGCTGGTTATTGGGAAGAAGAATATGAAGCAGTTGCTAACAATGAGGGAGAACAATTTCTTCCAGAACTATGTCATTAAGTATGCAGACAAGGTCCCAGGTTTATTGGAGGCATATGAGGTTCTTCCAAAGCAATAAAGATAGATTCTTGATGGCAAAAGATGTAAGTTGACTTGTTCAATGAAAAGCATAATAATATTATAAATTGCTTTTAGTCTTCTGTGAATTAGAGGCACTTTATGTGCTTTCTGTTTCAAATTATATTGCTCGATTAAGTCTTAAAATGCTAATAGTTCAATTTATTATCATTTTGCATATCGGTTATTCATATTTTTCTTGTGATATTTTGTTCCTGTGACCATGAATGTTTCCAGATCATCTCTCTGGCCTTTTAATGTGATTGGAAGGAATCTGTACTATCATTTATGGCTTTGGTTCCCAAATGTGGCCAGTGTTTGGTTATAAAAAGTTTTAGGTCTATTAGTTTTGCTACTCAGAATAGGTAAAATCTGTGATTAACATTGCTTTTGCTTGGGAGAGGACTGAGAGGTGGATTTAAGGTTCAATGCTTACCTGAATAAAATGCATGATTTTCAAAAGCTTGCAATCATATACTCATTGATTTAGGTCTTTACGTATTGGATTTTGGAGGTGATGGAATATGTGATTCTTTTCTTGTGTGCATCCTCTGAGGCAGAGTGGCACAAATTCCCGTTACAGGCCGGTGTTTTCCCAATCCACGCTGAATAGGCAGATGATACTCAAGTAACAAGTCCTTGATTCATTGATTTGTGCATGGAGACATTAAAGTTAAAGGAAAAAAAATAAATATCGATGTGATGGTTAGTTGTTTGGCCTTGGTTCATGAGCAAAATTTGGTTCTGAGACAACAGAATGTGCTATGCCATGTAGGGGATCATCTGTTTGCCAGGCATATCTGCTACAGTATCATATATGGAACAGATGCGCATACAGGTTTCCAGTCAAGCACTTGTTGATTAAGTACATTATTTTGTTCTGGAATTCTTTTGGACACGCAACCAACTATTCCCTGTTTATAAAGTAGGGCTCTTTTCTCAGATTAAGAGCAGTTTTAGCGTCATGAATACAGGTTATTGGGTCGTTATAAGCTATATTTAACAGTTTGGAAAAATATGATAGCACAAGGCTTGTCGAAGTTATTCGAGGATTAATGACTCGGGCTTCCGGACTTGGCTATGCAAATTTAACAACTGCAGCTCTAGCTGGCTGTTTTAGTAGCAGGTGATTTTGCTGGAGATGTTGATTTTGAGTGTATCATCGAAGGGCAAATCAGCCCCCTCTCTCAAGGTAATCATCTTGCCAGCAATGAGGATACTGGGCCATGGAAGTGAAGAGGGTGGCTCTAGGCACCCGCCATGCTGGTATCCTACATTTGATATCTTCATAGATCCCATTATTGTATATCCATTAACAAAGGCAAATCATTTTACCTCATTCTTCCTCTCAGAAAGAACCATTGGTTGGTTATTCTTTGGATGAACAGGTGAAGTGGACATTTCTGTCTCTGTCCAATTTGACATCCAATTTCTGTCTCAGAAAATCCAAACTCATCCTGTTGTTTGTAAATATATTAAAAAAATAAAACCTTAGCTCCAAAAATTGCTACATTATCCATGAGAAATCAGCTTTCTTTGATGCACACTCGTTTTCTTGATAAATAACAATAACTTGCTGCCGTGTAATCGATTTACTTAGTAGTATAATTATTAAATGTAGCTTTGCTTGCGCGGGTTGAATTGATGATTTTTTTTATTTTAAACCTGGCTTGAGCTGCGCGAGTTTGATCATGGATTTGGTTAAATGTAGATAATTTAGTGGGTTAATTCATGATATGATTGAATTAATCGTATTCAGGTGAGATCCAGTAGGGTAGCTTGAAGGATTTTTTTTATATATTTTTGTTCAAAATAATGATGGTTTATTTAAAAAAACCAATAAAATAGTGTTTTTTTTTTTGTTGATAGGATAATCCAATAACCTAGATTGATTTTTAGTTAGGTCAAGAGTTATAAAACCGAGTTTGAAAGTTCAATTCAATAAACAATAAACTAGGAGAGAAACGACATGCATTTACTGGCTTGCAAGCCAACCTGCTCAAACAACTATCCAAGTTTTAGACCAATTTTATTGTAGATTGGATTTATAGTTTTAAAACTGGCCTGGTCTAGAGGGTTGAGTCTGAACCTGGCTGACTCGGGGTTGGACCCGGGTTAAATTGAAGAAAATAGAAAAAAGAAAAACTCGGTATAACCTGGCTAACTCAATTGCAAATAAGTTAATTTTTTTTATTTTTTATTAAAATAACATCATTTTAATTTTTATAAAACAATAAAATTTGGCCGATTAACCTAATAACCCAGTCAAAATTCAGATTCTGAATCTTAAACCGCACCGACCACCGACCAGAACTATGATTAGATCTTAATGCTTTGACTAGGTCAGCGCTAGGGCTGACAGTTATGGTAAGGACGACCCAATCATAAGAGAATCATGGATCTCGAAAATGCAATCCGAGAGCAAGAATATTAGACCACTAAAATAGCAGCCCACAATAACTTTAAAAATAACAGCCCAAGTTAACCCTATCGAGACCAGCCCATATGGATCCTTGACAGCAGAGCTCACAATCGTTCTTCGTGTACCCCCAGAGTCAAAGCCCTAACAAAAGTCAAAAACCCTTTCCAGCTTCTGTGTCAAATCTGAAACACAAGCATTTTGCTGTCTGAAATGGCCGCCAATAAACCTAGCAGAAGCTTGCTTTCTCTGCTTCAAAAACGTTTTCTATTAACATTTTCTGCAGCACTTTCTCCTCCTACAGCTCAATTGCCCACCAGTAGCTCTTCTTCTTCATCGTCGTCCTTTACAGTTCATTTCCTTGTGAATTCTTGCGGGCTCACTTCAAAATCTGCTCTTTCAGTTTCCAAGAAGTTCCAAATCCGTGAAAAAAACCTCCAAAACCCTCAATCCGTACTCCAGTTCTTGAAAGCTCATGACTTTAGCGAAACCCATATTTCCAAATTGATTGAAAAGCGACCCAAGATTCTCCTGCGCAGAATAGAAGACAATCTGAAAGCCAAGTTTGACTTCTTTATCGAAAATGGTTTTGCGGGTCAGCTTCTGCCCCAACTTATTTTATCAAATCCGGTGATTTTGGAAAGGGCCTTAGATTCCCATATTAAACCATCTCTTCTGTACTTTAAGTCTATTCTCGGTACCAGCGAGAAAGTTATTGCAGCTTCCAAACGTTCTGTGTTTTTGTTGACTTGTGATTGGAACAGTATCGTGCAACCAAATGTTGATTTCTTGATTAAAGAGGGAGTGCCTGTTGATAGGATTGCAAAGTTGTTTCTGTTTCACCCACAGGTTGTGCAACGGAAGCATGATAGGATGGTTTATGCAGTGAATACTGTCAAGGATTTGGGACTTGAACCGGAGGTTTCTATTTTTATATATGCTCTGACTACCATGATGCAATCGAGCGAGTCCACTTTGAAGAAGAAAGTTGAAGTGTTGAAGAGTTTGGGGTGGACGGAGGAGGAGATTTTCCGGGCTTTTAAGCAAGACCCTGCTATTTTGCGATTTTCAGAGGAAAAGATCAGGGGTGTGATGGATTTCTTGGTGAATACTGTGGGATTGAGGCCACAAACTATTATTGCAAACCCTTTGTTTCTTCATTACTCAATTAACAAAAGGCTTCGACCAAGGTATAATGTTTTGAAGGCTTTGGAGTCAAAGAAGCTCTTTGATGAGGGCATAAGCATTGGGTCGGTGCTAAAAATGAGCGAGAAGAATTTCATGAAGAATTATGTTTCCAAGTATGTACATAGTGTCCCCGGTATATTGGACACATATAAGGGTATCAGCAAGCCTATAAAGATGGATACTTGATGGAAAAAGATGCACGTTTACCTTGCACTGCAAATTTAGTAAGATAATATTCTTGAATCAGAGAGTTTTTGTGCTTGGCTGTTTAAATTTGCATTGCCGCATTAATTCTTTGAACACTGTGTAAAATTTATCATAATTTTACGTATTATAGTTATCTTGCAGTGGTTGTTTTCACCATCACGTCTATTTCTAGACTATTTCGAATCAAGAAACGGAATAATCTCTTGAGTTTTGTCGCTTTCGAATTTTTAATTTGAATTTACTTTGTTGATTGTCAAGCTTCAAATGTTTGAAACTGGAGCTAACATAATCATAGGCTTTCTGACATTAAACTTAAAAATAATGCGTGGTTGAGTTTAAGAGACTACAAATATAAGCTTGCCTTTCCAGTTGAAATAAACAAGCCCTTCTCCAAATCCACACTTCTTCTGAAGAAAGATTTTGTGAGCTGTAAACTATGTATTGGTTGGATAGCTGTGCTTGGCTGGCCAGGAGAGAATGTTGAAGAAGAGGAATTTTAATGAAGAGTTTAGAGGGGGATAAAGCTGTGCTTGGCTGGCCAGGAGAGAATGTTGAAGAAGAGCAATTTTAATGAAGAGTTTGAAGGGGGATAAAGTTGTGTAGCTTGCTCAGTGGTGACAGGACTTGATGAAATGATGAGCATCTCATGGTTCAGGTTTCTTTTATTCATTGAAAGTGTTGCGGATAAGAAAGAAACATCTCGTGGTTCAGGTTTCTTTTATTCATTGAAATTGTTGCGGATAAGAAAGAAAAGGCAGAGGGGGTAAAAATAATTGGAGGGGATACTTTAATTTAGGGTTTGGACCTCTGGGTCTGGCTTTGTAGGTTGGGTTCACTAACAGCACTTGGTTCTGAGGGGAAGAAATTATATAGCCTCAGCCCTATCCATTCTATATTTTACTGAACAGGCAGGCCTATGGCAAAGATGCATGTTTCATATCAATTAGTTGTGGTGGGTCGAGTACATCAATTTTCTTCAGGAATTTGTGTTCATGTGAACAATTGTTTCAAGTTTACTAGTGATAATATCGATTTGTAGAACAATGATGTTGCATTATTATCGTTTTTATACTTCAATTATGTGTCCATGCTGCATGAGGGAGACAAATTGTATGGTAGCAGCTAAACATCTTGGTAAATAAGCACTTCCCCACCATCATGGCAGATTACTCGAGTCACCCTGCAAATTAGGTTTATGCTCCTTTTTTTTTTTTCCAGTCTCTTCAACTTTAAAACTCATTTCTCCACATGTTTGATTTAAATTTTCAGTTCTGTGCTTGAAATTTTTCTTGCATTTTACCAGGTATTCAACCTCCTCTTGGACCCAAAATCTTTACAGACAGTTCTCTTGCCCTAATACATGCTCTCGTTACTTGAAAAAATTGGTGATGCAAGGATCAAGGAAGTAATTCTTATGGAAGGTCTGTCTCGACTTCCTTGTATCCAGACTATGATTTTAAGAAAAAAAAAAGGCTCTCCTGCGTTGTTAGCAAAGCTCTTCACTACTTTGCAGCTTGAAGGTGATCATTCTTGCACACCCCCGAGGAGCAGGTCCATGCAGCATGCTCTTTAGGTTTTTTCCCTGTCTTTTCAACCTTAAAACTCACCTTGTCAGATAGTTAGATTGAATGAAAAATGGTAATGTAGTGTTTGCTGAGTCTTAGCTTTAGGACTATTTTTCTCTTGAGGTAGATAATTCGGATAATTTTTTCACTCGGGCTCTATTTCGTTTGCCAATCTCTGATTGCACCTGCCTGTCAAATTTGTCACCCCCCCTTTCCTTTTCAGTAACGTGTCGACTTTGCAATCAACTTGGAAAACTTTTAATTTGGATTTTGTTTCTCTCAGGCTCTGTTTCTTTTGGGCTAGAATGCATCGAGAAGCTCCAGAGAGACAATTTGCTGCATTTTCTGGCATAATTTTCATCTAACTATCATCTTCAACATAGCATTCATTGACCTTCAGCTTGGCTCTGAATCTTTATAAGCAATATTTAACAGTTTGGGAAAATATGATAGCACAAGGCTTGTCAAAGTTAACAAGTGCAGCTCTTGCTGGCTGTTTTAGTAGCAGGCAATTTTGCTGGAGATGTTGATTTCGAGTGTGTTTATCATCAAAGGGCTTTTCAGCTTCCTCTCTCTCTCCCCAGGTAATCATCTAGCCACCCTAAGGGCTCGATACATGCTCCTTCTGCAAGGCCTATCCTCTAACTTTTCTTGACATTTTTTGTTTACCTTTGGTAATTCTGCCACGCAGAACAGGAGGTTATTCTTTGAATGAACCGGCGAAGCTTCTTTGTGTCCAATTTGACACCCAATTTCTCTCTTAAGAAAATTCAAGCTCATCCTGTTGTCTGTGTATCTATTAAAAATATAAAATCTTTGCTCCAAAAATGGCCACACTATCCATGAGAGATCTGCTTTCTTCGATGCAGACTCGTTTTCTTGCTAAATAACAATGATTTGCTGCTGTGTAATCATAATATAATTCATTCAAAATATTTTTACAAAAAAAAATGTAAAAAAAAGGGGAATATTTTGATGTTAACCATCCATAAGGAATTCTTTCAAAAAAATATATCAAAATAATTTATTTTTTTATATTATCACATTAAAATATTTCAATAATTTTAAAAAAATTAATTTGAAACTAAGAAAAAATCAAAAAAATTAAAAAGTATTGTGGGATAAAAAAACCTCAATAATTATTTAATGATTATGAAATTGACCAACTAATCAAATTGAAGTGACTTCTCTAGGTGAGTTTCAAGGATTTTTTTAAATTTTTATTCAAAATGTCAGTGTTTCAGTTTTTAAAATTTTTTTCTTAAAAGAACTAAAATATATGTTCTGAGTTCATCTAGCAATCCAGTAGCTTAGATCCCTAGCAAAACAGACAATCGTCCTTCGCGTACCCTCAGAGTCAAAGCCCTAACAAAAGTCAAAACCCTTTCCAGCCTCTGTGTCAAATCTCAAACACTAGCATTCTGCTGTCTGAAATGGCCGCCAATAAACCTAGCAGAAGCTTGCTTTCCCTGCTTCAAGAACGATCTCTATTATCATCTGCTGCTGAATGTAGACATACAACTTTCATGTCATATTACAAATTTTGCATAGCCAGAAACTTGATTTTAAGTTATATAATCTAACGATATGCTATGCGAGTAAATCTTCTAAATTCTGTATGAAACGACTTGAGCTTCTTTCACAATGCGTTTCCAAAGCAACAAAGAACAAGACAAGCTCATAAATCCTTGAGATGATTAGCCTATAAATCACTATAAATGTACCTTTAAAACAGAGAATTAATTCATCAAGTTATTGGCTATGTTTTCATATTCAACCAAGCACCACTAACATAAAATCATATTACATTTTCTTAATTACACACTTGAAACTACTCTTATGTCTCCTTAAAAGTCACAGATCTTTAACATTTATCCAGTTCTTTTCAATCCCATTCAAAATCACATGTTTAGTTAGCTAGAAAGAGAGAGGAAGTACATGAAATTTAGCACTGAAAATCATGAAGAAGAGCCAACCAATACTATAGAAAGCTTCATCTTCTTCTTTGATGAAATGAAACGAATGCTCTCTCTCCTTTTCAAACCCATAATTTTAATACAGTAGATAGAATTGAAATTAGAGTTGATTTTATGCTCAATTTGGTGATTTAAGCAAAGAAAAAAAATATTGTGTTAGAGAGAGATAAAAAATCATATAAAGAGAGAGAATATAAGTTGTCTGGTCAAGATTTTAAGATTTTAATATAACGTATAAGGGTAGTTTAGTTATTTCATCTATATAAAACCCTAGAGTTCATTCACCATAATTTTATAAATTTTATGATACTTTAGAGAAAATAAATCTTGGAAGTTGCTTGTTCCTCACTAGACGTTGAGAAGATGAGCAAAATGGATTGATATTAATGGATTGAAGTTTCATTCTATTTTTTAGATTTCAAGGTAAGAAATATACATCCATTTTATTTAGACTTGTTTTGAATTGATTAAGGTTTTCGGTGCATAAGTTAAAAGGATTTAAATAGTATTTTTATAAATAACCAAATATAGTGAATATATATGGCAAACTATATGATATTGTAAGATGGATTAATAATGTATAGTATTTGTTTAATAGCCTCAAGGTGTTAGGTTAACAATTAAGTATAAAAATGAGAAGTTATTAGTTTAGATATTTGATAAAGGCTTCTATTTGATTAAAAAGAATATTTCAAATAGATATACTTTGTTATGTAAATTTTATATGTATAAAAAGTTTATCTTATGTGATTTTTAACATTATAAATAATGTATTAATCTGTTTTTTTAAGAGAAAGTGACGGTAAAACTAGTAAAGAATGTGTAAGTTGTCTAACAACAATGCCTCATAATGATTTTAAAGCTTATTATAAACTAAGTGATTCACATGTGGATGAAAAGATAATCGAGTCTAGTTTACAACTCAAAAAAACTAGATGAAATTATAAATTTTTTAAAACAACTTATGATTAGTTTAATAAATAATGTGTGGTTAATAAATTATCATAGCTAAGTATTCGAGGGATTTTAACAAATTATATTTTTCATATGAATAGATTGTATGAGTTGAGATTTTATATTTTGATTCTCTAAGTAAGGAAGGAAGTAAATTTTCATACACTCTATTATTTTTAAATAGAATAAATGTTTTCTTGTCATTGTGTATTTTTTCTTTATTATGGATATTTCATTCTTTAAAATAATATAAAGCATTTGCTAAGTTAAAATTGGCTGGATTGTGTTTAGTTAAATAGAGTTTTGTTATTAGCCCAAATAAGAGGAATAAAAAGGGAAGCAAAGCACTTGATGAAAGTAAAGATGAAAGTGTTGTTTATTTATAAATATATTAAAATATTTTTTTTATTTTTTAAAAATTATTTTTAATAGTAGTACATTAAAATGATCCGAAAACAAAAAAAAAATTTGAAGCAAAAAAAAATTAAATTTTTTCAAAAGAAATTTAAAATATAAAAACAAATAAGGCTAAAATGGAAGAAGGAAAATAATTTTATTGACATATAACCTATTAGATTATGTCATAGCACTAATTTTTTATCTTTTTTGCCTCTATCTTATGATGTTTTTATAATTTATTGATTACTGTATTTATATAAACAGTCTTTTCTTATTCAAGAAAAACTAGTTAAAACTATAATAATAATGTTTATGAATATATAATTTAGGATTTTTATAAAAATATTTTTAAATTGAGTTGTAAAAGAAAGTATTTTGAAATGAATTTGTAACTGGTTGTATAATGGCTCTTAAATGAATATGAATGAGGTAATGATCTTTGATGTATCAACAATCTCACTCATCAAAGAGTTATAATAACTGGTGATGAATCTTGAATCTTGCCAACGAGCTATAATAGTTGGTCAAGAATAGTTAACTAATAGCCCAGTTACTAGTATAATATATTTATATTAATTTGATATAAAAATATGGTCATGTTTATAAAAACTAAATGTCAAATAAAAGCATATACAAATAACGTTTTTTATATAGCTTGTTTTATGAACCATGGATTTTTTTTACTTATTTTAGGTTGTTTTATTATTGAAAATACAATATATATGTGTGAGCGCAAATGCTACTAAGCTATAATTAACACATGTTTTTCTTTACCTTTTCTAAATAGACAGAGAATTAAAACAGATTAGATAGTTAGTTTCAAGTTATGTAATTTAAAGTAGAGAAGTAATTAGTTTTTAGCCATAAAATTTACGTGACCAGTTTAAGATATTAGTCCAACAAAATAATTTTTATTTGGTGAATGATATCTTTGGATTTGCTATTAGAAATTTATTATTAATAATTTTGAGAACCTGTAATAAGATTTTTAATTTTTTTTTTGTAAGATTTTCTTATTGCTTTGTTGTGATTATTTATGAAATATATATTTTTATGAATTTTTAATTTAGTTTATGATTTTACTATTTA